CTGTTGAGGGCATTGCAGTAGCCATACTAGGGCCAGTGCTGCTTTCGCCACTGGTAACCAAGGGAGACTGGAGCCTATTTTTCGAACGTGAGCCTCTGCCTAACCCACGAACGCGGACCTTGTTAACCCGGGCGACGTCCGAGCCGGTATCACACTTTGATCTAGTTACTACCATGATAATTATCTCTACATAATGTGGGTGTGTGGTCATTCTTAGCTTCATTTCTTCCCATAGACCTTACTGGCATGGGTGTCCCTTCCAGGAGCTTGTGCTCCAGCCTGCATTGCCCTATGGTTCAGTAAAATTACTGGGCTCTCTCACCACGACCAGGTGGTGACCACGGGAGAGTTATTATTATTATTATAAAATATATCGGTCCTAAAACACTAAAAATTAGATAAAGTTACACCGTCCATTATAATCAACGTTAGGCTATTGTTATCAATGGTGATAATTACTCTCGGAAAACAAACGATAGGTATTGTTAGAAATTTCCTACTAAATAGATCCTATCTTCAAACTTAGTTGTAACTGAAGCATGCTTTTTATCTTTTACATGCCGTAAGGGCATGACAAGAATTGTTAGAAAATACCTGTCCTCTCTTGAAAATTTTTACTTAAAGGGTTTCTTCGGAGTTGAATATTTTTGTTGCGATCTTTTAGTTAAGTTTTGTGATCTGAATATTGTGATTTGCAATTAGATTTATTTCAATGTATGTACTCTCTAACATCGCGTTTGGAAATGTTCTCATATAGTGAACATAAGGAAAAAAAAACATAATGGGTTCAATTGTGGAGAGAAACAACTTTCTCATTTGTGATTATATCACATACATTCGCGTCATAAATAATTTTTCCTTATATAACTTATAGTAACTAACAATCTCTAGAATATTTAAAATAAATGTACTTACCAAAGGTTTTAATTGCTTGACTGGAAATAATAATTGTTTAATACTGACGATAAGCTTAAAGAGGTGTCTTCTACAATGGCTTATAGCAGTGGTCCTTAACCCCCGGGCCGCGAACCGGTACCGGTCCGTGGATCAAATGGTTCCGGGCAGCCCAAGGAACATTAAATTACTGGTATTTCCTTTTTTTTTTATTATGGTGTATTTCTCTCGGGTTTGTACGACTTTTAATGGACGACGGAACAACAAAATAAACTGGACATAAGAAACACACTTCGGGTGTCATTGTCTTCTGTTACCCTCAGATGGAACTGTCTTCTTGCAAAGAAACAAGCTCAGGGTTCTCATTGATTTAACGTTCTAGTGAGTTAAAATGTTAAATCATATTATATTCATGTTTTGGTGTAACTATATTTTATTTTAAAAGCATGTTTAAATACAATTAAATTAAAATTATTAAATTAAATCAATCTAAAATAAAAACGATCAACGTCCCCCCCTCAGTGGGCCGCGGTAAAATATCAAACGTTGACCGGTCCGCGGCGTTAAAAGGTTGGGGATTGCTGGCTTATAGTATAGGTCTGCTTATACATGTGGGTGGTGCATCCGGCATAACATGTTTTTAGAAGTGAAAATAGGTCATCGAGGTGATTGGCTTCTCTTATCTCGAATTTCCTATTGGCATAATGTAAAATTAAATTAATCTAAAATAAAAACGATCAACGTCCCCCCCTCAGTGGGCCGCGGTAAAATATCAAACGTTGACCGGTCCGCGGCGTTAAAAGGTTGGGGATTGCTGGCTTATAGTATAGGTCTGCTTATACATGTGGGTGGTGCATCCGGCATAACATGTTTTTAGAAGTGAAAATAGGTCATCGAGGTGATTGGCTTTTCTTATTTCGAATTTCCTATTGGCATAATGTAAAATTAAATTAACAATGACTTCTTAAAACACCCAATTGGCAGATGGAATGAGTCTCCCGAGAGTGTTGCAGAAATCGTATACAATAGATGTTAAAAGCTTCATTAATTAATTAAAATTACAAGAAAATATTTTGATGTATATCATGTTTCTAGATGTATAATATTTTGGATCAGCATTACACCACTTTATTTTTAAATAAATTAAAAACACAATTATTTTTTTGTGCTAATGAAAAATGTTTATAAGGTATTTTGCTACTCATAAATTAATTAACGAGATAGCTTAATTGAAAGAATATCTGATTATTAAGATTTACACAAAAGATCAATCTTGTAAGGTATATTCAAATTTATACGGGAGAGAAACCATATAACTCCGACTATTGTTTACAAAAGTTTGCTTACAAATACAGTTTCAATTCTCACATGATATGTCATAAGCAAAG